GGTTGGCAATAGATGTATTTTTTGCGACCAAAACTCTTGGTCGGCAATTGTCATTTTTTGCGAAAAAAAATAATTTATTTGTCGCGACTAATAAATTGGTCGCCAAAGCAGGAAAACAATACACCTGTAATTCCTAATAATTCATTCAATCCATAATAAACCTATAATTTTAAAGCATCATTCAAATTAACGGATGCTTTAGGGGCTCAATACTCCAGAACTATTTTATCTTAATATATTGTCATGCTTTGTTTACCAAAAAAGAAAACAAGGTGTGCAAAACTTCTCTAATAAATAATATCAAAATTTTCTTCTATTTCTTTCTCAAGCTATGTAAGGGCACAAGTTCATAGCATATTCATCGTCATGTGATGAATGTGTCAGGAAAGAAAAAATTATAGAAAAATAAAATATACTTTTACAAAATTTTCTCATAAACTAATGTAACATCAAATAATAAATTTTAAAATTTTAACATAAAGCCAAGCTCTTCATATCTCATGTCAATCCTCATAATCATAATCCACACCATAGGCTCCGCAGCTTTCAACACCTTCACCGTAATCAGTCTTGTGGTCAAATTCATTATCATACTTTCTTATTTCAGACTCAATCTGTCGGTGCTAAACTTCTTGTTAAACTTTGTATCGCATTTTGCAATTATGCCTTCCGTGTTGGCATTCTCAGCACCTTGGCTCTGTAAAGACATTGAAATGGATGTATAGAAATACATTAGCTAACTCTCAGTGTAGCTTTGTCTCATAGCAAGAAATAAATTTCAGATTAATGGAACAAATATAACAGTAAAATAACATGGCATCATATTGTAACTTGATTTGTTAGATTTGAAATTGAGAATTCATGTAAATATGATGAATAATCCCACCAAATGATTATTTCAATCCTTCCATCTAACTTGAGCCAAACACACGCGGCTTATCATCATACAATTACCTGTTTTAGAAACTGTATTTGAAAAAAAACATTAGAAAATGACAATGACGACTGTATTTTCCTCCACGCCTCGTTTTCATTTATAAAAAGGGCTGCAACCTTCATTGGCAGGAAGAACTGAAGTTTCCTTTGTTAAGTGCGCCATTGAATTACCATAGGACAACGTTGGTTGGAGTCATTGCAATGGAGTTGAACATAACTTGCTTTAAAACTTGCAGCATACCTCAACATCATCGATATCAGAAAGGCTTTCTGACTCGTCAATTGCTGCCATTCTACTCAGATGCTCATATCTATGCAGCTGACCAGATACCTTGTTACCATCTTGGCATCCATCAAAGCTCCTGAAACATCAGAATGTTACTTTGACTTAAGCTTTCAAGTTTAATCCCTAAAATAATGCATGACAGGAATTTCATGAGAACAATTCGTTACCCTTTTGGGTATTCAAGAATCCACTTCTTACAACATCTGCACGTACTTTCGAGGACGGTGTTACTTCTTTCTCTAACTAAAAAACAAACATGAAAACAGAAGTGTGTGGAAAGATAAACTTGATCCAACCTGTAACTCAATTACCTTAGGGGTCGTTTCTTAGTGTTGTCTTCAACCTGTTTCAGAAGCACATTTCAGTTTTCCTCACACATTATTCAGTCTGGTAACTTAAGAGGATATAATCTTATCATAACAAGTCAACAAATATTTGTAATAGGAGTATACCTGAAACAAGACTGGACAGAAGATCTTTTCCTGCCCTTGCAGTTACAATGGTGTTGTGAGCGCCAGAGACACAAGGACCATGATCAGCAGCACACAACATTACGCAAATCTGATAAGGTCGCATAAGATAGTGAGAACATAGACCAAATTGTACTTCTGACTTGAAGAGACGTGCACAAGTTCCATTGACCCAAGCAACCACAGGTTTACTGATTTTCCCCTGTTTCAGGACTTCCTTTGTACATATAAACATGTATGTACAACAAATAAAGAATGAGATCGAGACAGAGAAAACTTTGTCTATGTTATCGGTATGAGGGGCATTGAAAGTAGATGAAGCTGAATTAGATGGAGACATAAATGTGTTAAAGTGGTTGGGAATTTCACACATTGAAACATCACCAAATCCATTTGGATTTGCAAATTGCTGTCTCAAATTGTTGACACCGTGCCCAGATACATTATGCATGGCTTCCACACCAAGTGATGTTTGAGAGTTCTGCATGGAAAAATACCTCCTCCTGCAAAGGAAGTGTTTACTAGGATGAATCCAAGAAAATGACTTTTTCTCTTTTGTAAAGAAATTAAATCATATAAACTTGGATTAATTAAGCCCCAAATTTCTCATTTTGCAAGTATTTAGCTCAGCCTACAATTGAAATAATAATAACTATCCTCCAAGTGCCAATGTCTTACTACGACGTGCGGTGTATGACTTGTTTGGCAAAGTGCTACTGCTAGCAACTAACTGAAAATCTCATGGATATAATTTTTATCAACATTATTAAATGACAAAAAGAATGCTACTGTAATTCAGAGGACCGACTTCTTGTCATTGGTTGAGAACTATGAAACCATGCCTGCATGCAAAAACTATGAGATTGTCTTGGAATGTCATATTGAACTGTGTTTCTGCAACAATGTCAATATATACAGACCTTAGCCAAATAGAGATTACTAGCTTGAAACCCTCTTTCAACCACATTCCTGATGGACAAAAAATAACAAGAACATATGACCGAGGCAAAATTCAATCATCATCTATGACATAAATGCTTACTCTGAAACCAATGCAAACATTGAAACTGAATAAACTTAGAAAACATAGGTGATTTAAAAATTAAAAGTATCTAGAAACATGTGATTCAGCATCACATGTATAAAAAGTTACAGGAGTCACCTAATTGAATTTTGATTCAGATCACTTGACTGTTCATCAACCAAAGCAGTATTTTGAGGGAATAAATTGTCGTTGCTTCGTTTCCTCTGAAGTACACCCCCAAGTTGCTGACCAGATGAGCCGGCTAATTCTGCGGGCTTCCTGCATTTAACATGTTTACTTGTCTAAAGAAGTTGGTGGTATAACAAAATCTGGTTCTTATTAATTGGATCAACTATTCATCTCCGCATAGAATACCCACCAATCAGTCTGTTTAAAAAGGAGTTCCGAGACATGCCATTATTGTACAGTAAAAGCTATAGTCTCACGCATATGAGAGTACGTACAGACTGAGAGAGTAAACCAATTTGAAGTAAACCAATTTGATAAAAAAATCATTTTTCTGGACATAAACCAAAAAATCATTTCCATTTTAAGTAAACCAATTTGATAGTTATCTAGAATACACATTTTTCTATTTCCTTATGTTGCACTACATAAACCAAGTCCAGCAGATTTCCATTTCAAGGAGTGACCAACAATATTGTTCCAAAGAACTTTTCCATCATTAGAAATTCATATAAACAAAAGTGATAATATAATGAAAAGGTTAGATATATGTGCCTTAGTTCCTTTCTTCAAATTACATCCACGTAAATAACCATATAAAGTGACATTTCTATTGCATTTATTATCCATATGCACTCTTTCTGGAGGTGTGACATCTTCAAAACGATCTACCAATACATAGGGATGGGTAGTTCGCCAAGACAAAGGATGAAATTTCATAACATAAATGAACCTTGCAAGATTGTGAACCTCACATTTAGCATACCTGCTCAATCAGAAAATGGATCATAAATCTAATGAGTATTCTGTTAAGGTATTGATTATTTAATTACAAGATAGAAGTGAACTTGCAGATTTCAGAACAAGAGGCAGTCAAATACTTACTTCCCATGAATAAGACCAGACAAATAGAATAGTTTAGCTCCATCATATATTTCGGTCCAGAATCGATGCTTGAGGCACTGTTTTGTTTTTTTAAGTTTCTTTACATCCTTGAACTTATCAATATGTGTAAGAACTCCCATTATTTTAGGGAATCCATGATTTTGCAAAATATTAAGGAACTCAAAAGTTTCCTGCAAGAACAAAATACCCCATTACACCAGATTTACTATATAATAATAATAATAATAATAATACTTAGATCAGATGAGCCAGACCAACAAAAATGTCCATAAATTCAGAATAAATTGCGAGTGAAACAGTTAAAATAAGAATGGATAAGTTGGGGAGGGAAAAAGATTAAAAACAAAATAAGATAAATTACGGATCACAGGCATTGCACAACACCCATCCAATGATTTTGACGAGCTTCAAAAATCCGTAAACTTTGTAGTTAACAACCAATCAAATTTGATTATTATTGCCAGAAAGAAAATTATAAATATGCAGGTTAGTGCATCATTTTACCAATCGAACAAAAGCATTTCCATTGAATGCTAAAAATACACTTGCTACTCTCTAAGCCTAGGCACAAAAACAAAAAAAAATAAAATAAAATAATTTCCAAAATAACAGAATCATATATGACTTGATACTTGCTTATAATAATACAGAAGTGGGTTAAAAAATTTCTTAGTGGTAAAGTAATATGCCAATTAGACCTTACCATTTCAAAACCGTAACTTCCATCAATGAGAAGCAGAGCTAGATCAGCAAACTTTGCAGCATCAATCATACCATTAATATCATTTGGGCACTCCACAAATTGTGCCTTTGCTTCCCTTAAAAAACAAAAACAATAGAAAAAAAATTGACCAACCACTTCTACCTCAACCGGTGAATACAAGAAACCCTGTGAACATTTCCAATCCTTCACTAATTCTTTCCTCAAATTCACATTTGATGAATAAAGAGTTAAAAGTGAGCCCCAATCATTTCATCAAACTTGTATCAAATCATGGGAGAGCCAAAATTTTAACCAAATCAAGAATGAACCAAATCCTTCACTAATTTCCAACAATTTGATGAGATTTTCTTGAAAAAATATGATTTTTTTTCTTCATAAAAAATCGATAAAAACAGGTTTTTTGCATAAGAAACAAAGAGTAAGGATTAGAGTGTTCCAGACCAGATCAAGCTTTCAACCAAATTCACTCAAATTTGATTAAAAAAAAGTAAGTATAAGGATTGGAGATGCTCTTATCAGTGAAGTTTGTACTTAAAAAACCCAAACTGGTTAGGGAGAGCATATTAAACCTGACACAATAGTAATGGGTCCTCAATCATCTGGTAGATTATGCTTGGTGTAATGCTTCACAAGACACTTTATCAGAAGAGACTTTCCAACCTTTAAAAAAAAATAAAAAATTGAATCCCATTATCATAACTTCATTACTAGCTACTAAAAAATAGATAATTACCTGGGGAGGACCCTGCACCACCACAACATACGGTGCCGGTTCTCCGATAGACCGGTCAATCGTCGGTACATAAAGCCTCCACTGCTCTTTCTCCGAAGCACGCGATTGCAATCGCTTCGCTTTCACAGTCGAACTAAAAGCAAATGCCTAAAAGACATAGCAAAATTAGTTTGTATGGACATGAAAGTAAAATCTGTGTGTTACACATTAAGAAAAAAAGATGAATCAATGTAATACAGAAAAATCTACAGTCAAATCTGTGAGTTGATACATCAAAGTAGCACGTTAAGGAGGGTTTATCCATCAATCAATGGATTAAGAGAGCATCCATCACCCTCCCAGAAAATTAAGAATCCTGGGATGAGATTGCAGATAACTAAGTATTGCTAGCTGACTGTTCAATGTGAGGTGTATAAATTTGAACAGGAAGATGTTTCAAGTAATAATAAAAAATGGGTGGTTTAAAAAATAAAAAAGACAATCTAGTTTTGGCCAGTTAATCAATGACGTTAGGAGGGGTGAACCAGATACAAACATAACCTTTGGCATTATTTGCATGCAATGGCTACTCTCACACAAACTTGTATTCCCATGATTGCCAGGCCAGGGATTTCACCATTGAACCAAGCAACGCTGCTTTAATGGTTCGAAAAGTACAAAACTTTGAAAGTAAAAGAAAGGGGGAAAATTTAAGAGGAAGTGGCACAAAGAGAGAATTAAATCCATGCACATACAAAGAAAAGTAATGGCCACAATATGGAGCCTTTGTTAACATAACAAACCATACTAAAATATCTAATCATGGAAGTATGAAACACTTGCTGCAACTTGTGGCACTGCATCTCATAACTATAATATCTATCACTCAAAACAACTATAAATAAATATTATAAAATGGGTCCATTCACATGGTTTTCTTTGTTGCAAACTTGCAATACTAACAATTCAAGCTCAAAGCTGCATATGTTTCCAATTTTGAGTGATCATACACATAACAAAAATTTCTACTCCATCCAGTATGTCACATGAAGATGTAAGGGCAATAATCTCATTGATTTTTTTTTCCTTTTCCCCAAGGTCCCCTTGATGAAGAAAACATGACAGCTTTCTAAAGTAATTTCATATACATTTACAATAATACAGTGGTGAGGCAGTGCAGCACGCACATGATCCATAAGGCATAGTAACAGGACTTTAATTCAAACATTTGGCATCCGCATCCTGTACACCAAATAACAAGGTTCAGAAGACAAGGCAGGGACATGATACACATGAAGCAATGCAGCATGTATGTAGCCCAGAATGCATGCAGAGAAAACGTCAAATTCAATTTTTAGCATCATGTAAACCAAACAAAACAGATCAAGAGTCAAAGCAGGGACATGACACAATGAGCAAATGTATTATTAGGATTATTTAACTTTGACCTTGTCCTCCATCCCAAACAGGGGATGGGTCCAAAAGGGTGTTTTACACTAAGTAGTTCCTAAGAGACATTTTATCAAATAGTTTGAAGGCAAGAAAAATGGACATATATATAGGCAAATTGGTACAAACGTATACACATCATTTCATATACACATACAAATAGGTACAAACATATAAATCTACAAATTCAACAAAAGTTCATAGTTTCCTCTACAATGTGCAAATGATTATTTGTACCTTCAAGATTCCAAGTACTCTAGTGACATCTTCCTTCATGAGCTTCTTCCTTAAATCCTTACAATACATCAAACTTAGAGCCTCAATGTAAACTTCAACATCATCACAGTCAGCAATCTCGACAATGTAGGGGTTAGAAGTTCTCTGCTGCTTCGACCACCGATCGGAAAGCTTAACCGCGAAGAATTGGTTGTGAGCAACCAAGATTTGCCGAGAGAGAGATTGATATGATTCAGGGGGGGGTTGGGAAACGAAGAACTTAATCAGTAGAATTTAGAAGACTAGGAAACCCATGGTATTATTGCAGAGCCATAATCAGTAGAATCAAATTTGGGCCTTTTTTTACGAGCCCAAGACGAAGAAAACTAGGGTTCCCTATGAGGCCATGCTTAGCCTCGTACAGCAGCAATTGGGCGGTGGTCAGCCTCCCGGAACAGTCGCCGCCGCCGCTGATGAGGTTTTGGGTGTTTTGAAGAACAATAACCCCAACAAGAGGGAGGAGATCGAGAAATTGTTGAACCCTATGTCGAATCATGATTTCGATCAGATGGTTTCCTTTGGGAACCTAATCACTGATTTCCAAGAAGAAGAAGACAATGTTATGATTGATGATAATGTGGGTTTTACTGTTGTGTTTGACGAGGAAGAAGAACAGAATGGTTTTGATGATGATGATCTTAAAGTTGAGACCAAGCTTTTGGGTCATCTCCAATTCGATAATTTCAGCCTTGTTAAGTGTTTGTTGCAGAACCGATTGAAGATTGTGTGGTGTACTCGTCTAGCCAGGGCCGAGGATCAGGAGACGAGAGAGAAGATTGAGGAAGAAATGTTGGAATCTGGACTGGAATTGGCTGCAATTCTTGAGCAATTGCAAGCCGTTCTGGGACTCATTAACGGAGCGACTTCTAGATTGCGTCTGAATCCGTTCGAAGCCAAGTACTTCGGATCTCTAGATTCGTGGATCCGAATCCTTTCGAGTCCGAGTGCCTCGGATCTCTAGGCTTGCTTAATACCCTTTCGAGTCCGGGCCCGAGTAAGTCTCTAGGTTCGTGGATCCGAACCCTTTCGAGGCTTAGAGCCATTCAGCCCGTTTGACGGCGATAAATCCAAGCCTACCAATCTTGGACTTGCGATAAATTCGGGCCCACTAATCTTGGGCTATTGGGCCTAAATAATTTAGTGGGCTTAAATTAGCTCCTCTTACATACGGTATTAGGAATTCATGACACTTCTAGAAGTGTGAGTTTGAGAGGGTTTGTAAAAATGTGGGGGAGACGGGAAAAAATACCGAGGAAATCGGGTGTGAGCAGGGGAAGTGGGTGTGGCTTTGGGACTCAGTTACTCTTGAGCAGGAAATGTATACTGTTCAAGGCTCGGGTATGAGTGTCGGATTTTGAGTGTTTTTCTATTACATAATGCATTTTTTATAATTTAATCTCTCTCACCCGTAGACATAAATAAGTAATAGGTGCCGAGCCAAGTAAATCTATGTTGTTATAATATTTCTCTTTAGTGTGTATATGATGTGCTTCTATTCGCATTTGGGGATATAGAATAAATCCCAACAACTAATGAATTGAACAAAGAATAACTTATTCACTGCAATTTGTGGAATTAGGATTTGGGGATTTAAATTTTAATATTTAGAAATTTCTATCATTTATTTTCAAGACCCCATGTCTGGGTGGATTTGACAAGTATAGATTAGTTTGTGATACAATGCCACAACTGCATGAAATCTTATTTTTCTATTGAACCAAACACGTGGTGGACATTCTCTCAAAACTCCAACAACCAAGAAAACTATAGAGAAAACATTTGAGGACATCAGATACTCCCCCGCTTCTTCCTCTTCTCCAACCCCTCCAACACATTCTCTCAATCATGCATATCTTCTCCTCTAAAAACTTTCCTCTCTCTCTCTCTAGAGCTGCCTTATCAGACTCCAATGGCGTATATGGTTCCAGCAAATGAGAAGGTAGATAAACAAAATTTAACTACAATCTGTGGCTGGGTACACAATAGCGTTAGGTCAAGCGGTGTCTTCCATGGCGATAATCCGATGATGTTTGCCGGTCCGGTTCTCCTAGTGCAGCTCGGTATCTCTTCTTTGCTCACTGCAATCTTGCAGTTTCTTCTCAATCCTCTTGGTGAAACTGCCTTCATCTCTCAGTCACTCGTAAGCTACCTATTCCCTCTTCTTTTTCCATTCTTCTTATTTTTTCACCTATAGACACTGGTGTGTCTAGATCTCATGTTCATTTTTAATGGATTCCATTGATTTGTGACTGAATGAAAAAATAGGATAATAAATGAAATTGTATGTAACATTAATTTTTCTTATTTTTTAGTTCGCGTATATTTTTTTGGTAGTAAGTAATTTTTTAAGGGTAAATTATACTCACGTCTTCCTGAGATTAGGTAGCGGATGTAGATTGAGCGAGCCGTGCAAGTTAGTAGATGGGTGTAGGTTGGTTTGGCGGTTTGGATTTTGCAGTCTTAGTCTTTTTTTTTTAAAACTATTTTTCAGTAATTTTTTACTATTGCATTCAAATTTTTTATTGTTCATTTTTTATAATAAAAATAAAGGCTCAACTTTTATATCTTATAAATAGAAGGTTATTTGTTTTACACCCAAAGCATAAAAGCATATTTTCATTTTCTTAATAGTGTTGACGGATCAAGTTGACTTGGGTGGCCTTCCATCCACTATTCGTTTGAGTTTAGACAAATTAAGAAAAATGCATCCACATCCGTTCGCTCAGACTATTAAAATCGTCCATTCTGTAGCGGATTAGTTAGGGCAATTTGGTTTTGATGAATCAGATGACTACTTGCCCACCCCTAGCCAAAACTATGAGTTACTCGTAATTTCTTTAAATATCAGGGAAGATTAATGTAATTTGCACTTTTATAAAGAATAACTTTTCTTTTTGTAGGTTTTGTATTTGGATATTGGATTTCGAAAGTAATTTGTAAACATGAAAACTATCAATTCAAAAAAATTACTCAAAATTTACCAAAAAGCATCAATGAGGTCAAGATTCATTCTATACATGTACCCAAACATATAGTTACAAGGTGGATAAAATTTTGGTATGATTTTTCTGGGCATTTAGACTATTTGATTTGTAAAAGGTCCTTTCAAAAATTAATGAAAAAAAGTATCCTTATATTTTTATCAAATTTCATTTTAATCCATGCACTTTAGTGCTATACTTCTACAAAAATTCTGTTTTAGTCCCCCGTCAATTTTCAAAACAACGTTATAAATTGCAACTTGACTCGAAATCTAATAAATAAATTGAGACAATTAAAAGGTTAAGCAATTATACGTAAAATACACAAGTGCGCAAAGTAAAAGTTGTCCAAATTTATATAACTTTTTTTCACTTGCATAGCATTAGACTTTTGTTACTGAGTGTCGTCTCCATATAACTACACAGGTGGGTATGGCATTGGGGCCTTCATTTTTGTCAAACGGTTCAATCAGAAGCATAATCTTTCCACCCCAAAGCTTGTACATCAGCGAAACATTTGCCTACTTTGGCCTCATGCTCTTCCTCTTCCTCGTCGGAGTAAAAATGGATCTCGGCATCATCAGAAAGTCCGGTAGGCGAGCAGTGGTCATCGGCGTCTGCAACTTCTTCATCCCACTGGCGCTCAACGAAGCCCTGGCTTTCATTTTACGCCGAACAATCCCCATGGACCAAACCCTGTATACTTCTCTTCCGTGGATCGCCTCATTTCAATGCCTAACCTCCTTCTACGTCAGCGCTTGCGTCCTCGACGACCTTCACCTCCTCAACTCCGAGCTCGGCCGACTTGCGCTCCCAGCATCGATGATTAGCGGCTTGTGTAATTGGTCATGGACACTGATCACCTTTACAGCCAGGAAAACCCTAATGGCCGGAGGAGGACAACACATGTTGTTACTTGTCGGCTTTTTAGTCATTTGCATGATCGCTATCATTATATATGTCCTGAAGCCACTGATGCTTTGGATGGTGAGACAGACAGGCGACGACGAAACGGTGAGGGAGTCCTATATTTTTGGAATCTTTGTCATGGTATTGGGGTGTTCGATGTTAGGTGAGATCATCGGACAACACTTTTTGGTCGGTCCAATGATTCTGGGACTGGCAGTCCCGGAAGGGCCTCCTTTGGGGACAGCCTTGGTTACGAAGCTCGATACCTATGTTTCAACGATTCTGTTGCCGATATATTTTGTTGTCAATGGTTCCAGGATAGATTTCTCCCTTATACATCTTAAGACCTTTGGGATTGTGCAGTTGATGGGAGTTTTTGGATTGATGTGTAAACTAATAGGGACTATATTGTCTTCCTTTTACTGTGAGTTAGCTTTGAATGATGCAGTGTCATTAGGCCTTGTCATGAGCGTTCAAGGCATCACTGATGTTTTGTTTATTGGATTTGCATCACGACTTCAGGTAATCACTTTGTGCTCTTGTGCTACAGGAGATAATAGCTTCACTCAGAAAGACCAAAATCACCGTGTACCCAAATGTAGACTCAATTATTGTTACCCTACCATTACTGAAAAATAAAATAATGATCAATCCAATCATTTTCTAAATGAGCACCAACCAATAAGGTGACCACATTTGTGTTAGTGTCATATATCAAATAGTACTAGAAAAATATTGAAATGCATTATCAACCCTAACACCACAACATACTTTTTCTTTTCTGTGCAGTACATTAACGAGGAAGAGTACAATATCTTGGTCTTATCAGCAATTTTCTTTGGTGCCGCCATAACCCCTATTTTGAAGGCAATTTACAAGCCATCTAAGAGATACATTGCCTATAAGAGGAGGACAATCGAACATACAAAACCTGGTAGTGAACTGCGAATGCTTGCTTGCATCCACCAGGAAGATCAGACCCCTTCCCTCATCAACCTCCTCAAATCCTCCAACCCATCTTCCAAAAGCCCTATTTTCTTCTACCTCATCCACCTAATCGAGCTTTCAGGACGATCCGCACCCATCCTGGTCGTTCATCGTGTCGGGAAAAGGTCCTCGATGCACTCCCACCAATCGGATCACATAATAAATGCTTTCAGATTATACGAGCAACAAAACCAAGGTGCTGTGATGGTGAACCCTTACACAACCATCTCACCTTACGCGACAATGCACGACGAGGTATGTGCACTTGCGCTGGACAGGAAAGTTTCCTTAATCATCTTGCCATTTCACAAATTCTTGACCATTCACGGAGCAGAAGAATCAAACAATTCTATCAGAATAGTAAATCGAAACATCCTGAGGGCAGCCCCTTGCTCCGTAGGGATCTTAGTTGACCGCGGCACATTGGGCAGTAGCTCTCACAACATGAAAAGCAATACTGCATTTAACATTGGGGTGATCTTCTTGGGAGGGCAAGATGACCGTGAAGCATTGGCGTATGCTAATAGAATGGCTGAACATCCGAATGTCAACCTCATGGTGGTTCATTTGGTCGAGTACTCTACCAAGAAGTACAAGATGACATGGGACATGCAACAAGACTTTGAGTTGATCAATGAGTTTAAGATCGCCACCACGTGTAACAAATACTTTGTTTACAAGGAAGAAGTGGTGTATGATAGTGTGGAAGTGATCGGCATCATCCGAACACTTGATAGTTGTTTTGACTTAATCTTGGTGGGAAGGCACCATCACAGTGCTTCCCAATTGTTGCCTGGATTAACAGAATGGAATGAGTTTCCAGAGCTAGGGTACATTGGAGACATGTTAGTTTCATCGGATTCCAGTTGCAAGGCATCAGTCTTAGTAGTGCAACAACAAGTATTTGTGGGTGGAGACATATTGGATAGCCCTATGTGTGTTATTGGAGGTTCATTTTCTGTTGTTGATATGCCTTGGGACAATGCTAAAGTTTGTCCAGCTCCTCACTATTCTCGAGAATTGGGTAAATAGGAATTTTTGACAACAATGTCGAGCGATAGCTTTTCAAGCATTTACATGTACATTAGACATTTGTTGTTTGTAGAAAATGAAGGTTAACCTTAGAATAGGATGATTATAAAAGATCAGGTAAAAAAACTCTGAAACCTTGCCTTGAAAGATATACAGGCGTAGTGTTTTCCATGATTTTGGCATAAAGGTTTTTCTTATTCCTTTTCATTTCTTTTATTTTCTTCTTGTACTAAGTTATAGGATGTTGAGAAAGAACTTAATTCTTTTTTTTTTTTTTAGATAGGATAAGCAATTACACAGAATGAGAAGCCTCAGACACCACCAACGCCATTAAAGATGGAGGAACCTCCTCCATCCAAACACGTGGTGAATCAAAATCGAAGGCTAGCCTACTTAAACAATGAGCCACCGAATTGCCATCTCTACAAACATGCAAAACTGATGAAGAAAGAAAACGCAAGAGAAGTGCTTGAGCCACACCCACTAAATGACCATAGCAGGATAAATTATCCGCCTTGCCTTGGATTGCAGCCACCACATTTTGAGAATCACCTTCAAGATGAATATGCCCCAAACCCAAATCACATCCCAATTGAAGAGCTTTGGTCGCACCCAAAGCTTCCACACAATCAACATCCTCCATATACGGGATCCGCTCAACCATAGACGCAATGACTTCTCCATGACAGTCCCGAATAATAATTCCAACACTAGCACTGGCTTGGGCCTTCTTAACAGAGCCATCAAAATTCAGTTTAACGGCCCCCGCACATGGCACAACCCACCTTCGCAGCCGCACCTGGGCCGCAGGAAGTTGGTTGCGCTGTTGAGCTTGATCATATTCGGATACATAGTTCACCGCAAAAGAAACAACCTCCTCCACAGTCCTTGATTTATTTTCGAAGCTAATGGAGTTCCTATTATTCCAAAGACACCAACATATAGTAATAAATAATTGCATGTGCGCTAGATCAATCGTGGCCATGAGATTACAAACCCACTCAAAACAGTTGTTAACAGGAGTAGAATTGATAACCATATTTAGTGAGCTCGACATCCACACATTCATTGCAAAACCGCAATTATGAAAACAATGGCCTACCGTTTCAGCCTTAACTCCACACCCGGCACACAAATCCATATTGACGATATGTCGTTTCCGCATATTGGCCCTTACGGCTAGCAACCCAAGACACATTTTCCATCCAAAGATCTTGAGTTTATTCGAAAGATGAAGCTGCCATAAACCTTGCTAGAACTGCCTATGCGACTGACCATCATTGGAGGTAGCACCATGACCATCCGAAGAGGCCATATCCACACATAAATGATATGCCGATCGCACCGAAAACTCTCCATTTCGTGAAAAATACCAGACCAATTTATCTGAAGGTAACGTTGGACAAATAGGAATGCGTCGGATAGCCTCCATATCCATTCTCAAAAATTTTTGAGTAAGCATCTCATCATGCCATGCACCCTTCTTAGAATCAATCAATACACTAACCCTCGCCTCGTCTGAAAGAGTCGAAGGTGGCAAAATTACCTTAAAAGAGTGAGGCCATGGAACCCATTTATCATGCTTAACCGAATTGCTCGCACCATTCTCAACTCGCCATCGAAGCCCCGCATTTAGTAGACTTTGAGATCCGACTATACTTCTCCAGGTGAAGGATGGGTTGCTCCCGACCAAAGCATCAAGAAATGAAGTTTGAGGAAAGTACCTAGCCTTGAACACCCTCGCAACCAACGATTGAGGCCGCTGCACTAATCGCCAACACTGTTTGGCCAACAAAGCCGAATTAAACTGTTAAAGGCACCGAAATCCCATAGACTTGCACAATTGTTTCTAGCTAGTCCAATGAATTTTACGGGTTTCCTCTTTTTGACCCCACCAAAAGTTGCACACCATAGAATCAATTTCATGACACACTCCATCAGGAAGATGAAAACAGGACATAATATAAGTGGGTATTGCTTGAGCAACAAACTTAATGAGTACCTCTCTACCCGCAACCGATAAAGATTTTTCCTTCCAACCATTTAATCGATGCCATACGCGCTCCTTAACAAACCCCAAAACTACGTGCTTAGAATGCCCCACACAATATGGTAACCCCAAATACTTCCCGTAGGGCGTCAATGAACCCACCCCAAGAATGGATGTCACCACTTGCTGAGTAACCAAGGCCGTATTTTTACTAAAACAAACAGCAGATTTTTGGAAGTTAATTTTCTGCCCCGATGCTTGCTCATACTTTTGGAGGATATCTTGCAACACACCCACCTCATTTTCCTTAACAGCCGCAAATTGAAGACTGTCATTGGCAAAAAACAAATGCGACAATCGTGGGCTACCCCGACAAATTGAAATCCCCGACAATTGGTTATCTACCATAGCATGGGCGAGGAGTGCCGACATTCCTTCTGCACAAATAGTGAACAAATATGGCGAAAGCGGATTCCCTTGGCGGAGCCCCCTTGTTAGGTGAAACATTCTTGAAGGCTTCCTATTAACAAGCACAGAAAAAGATACTGTGGACACACAACTCATGAGTAGTTGCACAAACCGTTGAGGAAATCCTAACTGGAGCATCATTTGATTAATAAATGGTCATTCCACTTGGTCATAAGCTTTACTCATGTCAAGTTTCAACGCAAGACATCCATCCTTGCCCGCCCTCTTGTTCTTAAGAAAATGGAACACTTCAAATGCCACCAACGCATTATCGGTAATCAAACGGCCTGGTATAAACGCACTCTGAGTGTTGGAAATAACAGAAGGCAGCAACTCTTTAAGACGATTGGCCAACACTTTTGCAATTATCTTATAAACAACATTACACAAACTAATTGGCCAAAATTCGGACATGAGCTTGGGATTCTTAATTTTAGGAATCAGCATAGTGAAAGTATGATTAATATGTGAAATCTCATCAACCCCATTCAACACCCCAAGCACTGCAGAGCTCACACTAGGACCCACCACTTGCCAAAATTTTTGGAAAAATAAAGCAGGCTTACCATCGGGCCCTGGAGCCTTCGTTGGATGCATTTGGAAAAGCGCATGGTGGACCTCAATTTCAGAAAAAGGTCTATTCAGTTGAAACGCACTATGATCGGAAACTCTTGCCTGAATCAATTGCAAAACTAGGCCCATATTCAGTCCGTCACCCGCCGTAAATAACTCTTGAAAGTAATTCACAAAATTGTCCTCCACCACTCTTTGATCCTCCTGCCAAAGTCCAGTAGGATCAACAATCCCATCAATATTCTTTTTCTTATGACGTTGGGTGGCCTTAGAATGAAAAAACGAAGTATTACGATCCCCATCTTTTAGCCAATTAGCTCGAGCACGTTGACCCCAAAAAATAGATTCCTGTTCTAAAATCTCATCAATATCACAACGTAGCTTACACATTTCTGCTACATCGTCCGAAAAATTGGAACTCAGCGTAAGCAACCGCTGTAGGTGATCGGTTTTCTCCTTCAACTGCCCCTTGACACACCCAAACACATTACGTTCCCACCGTCGTAACGAAGAACTTACATGTGAAATAGTAGAGACCAAATTCCAAACATCCGCAGTAGAAGAGGACAACCAATTATCGGCAACTACTTGCTCCCAACTTGCATTCCGTAGCCACATAGCTTTGAATCGATACATGCGATGACCACAAGCATGAGATTGACATTGTTCCTTAGCCCCACAAAGGTCAACACAAATAGGTAGATGATCGGAGAAGGTGCACGCCATAGGATAAACCTTAGCATGGGGAAACAAGAGTTGCCAAGCATCATTAGCTAACCCACGGTCCAATCTCTCCTAAACCAAAGCGTTGCCACCGCGGTTATTGGACCAAGTGAAGATTGGCCCAACAAAACCCATATCAGCCAGGTGTGCATCTGCGATAACATTTCAAAAATGTTTCATTTGTAATGGACTACGCCCCACAACTCCACACTTCTCGCGATAGAACAACATTTCATTAAAATCACCCGCACAAAGCCAAGGCATCTAGAAACATGTGGCTAGTCTACGCAATAATGCCCAAGAATTTTTCCGTTGTGCCATTTCCGGGTGTCCGTAAAATCCCATAAATCTCTAAGGATGTTCTCCCAATCTAGTTTCCACAAATACATCAATATGACCAACCGAATAACTTTTCATACTAACCTGTATACCCGCAGGCCATAACAGAGCAAGACCCCCCGCAAGTCCAACTCGATTGACATAAAACCACCACAAAATCCCAGTTTTTGCCAAATCCCATCCATATGCTTCGAATCGAGCTTGGTCTCCATGAGAAAAACTAGCCCAGGAACTTTCTTTTTCAGTAAGAACTGAAGTGATCGAACTGACCGTGGGTTCCCAAGCCCACGGCAGTTCCAGCATAAAACATTCATTAGGATCGGCGGGGCTAAACATCAGCCTCCACCGTTGGAATTTTGGTATGTGGGTTGAAAGCATCACCCCCATGCACACACAAACGTTTACCAGCAGTCACAGCCCAATTCTCATCACGCTGAGGCACACCACAAACTACCACCTCCTCAAGCACTCTCTTAGTCCCCGTAATAGGTGAGTTAGTAGTTGTGGGATCCATGTGCTGGCGGGCTACCCTCTTCCACTTCTTTTTGGGCAGCACTATTTTACCTAATGGGCTAGCCTCAACTTCCATCAAAATATGAGGAGCAATGGGAGAAATTTGGGCCACCAGAACTAACTCAATTAGAGTGGGCTCAGCCTCGTCGAGGCCCAAAATGTTATGTGCAGAATGATGCCCAGACCCTCCTTCTGCAGTAACCTCCGGCCCATTCGTAAATTCAAAAGTAGTAGATGAGGGTGAAGATATGGTAATACCCGAAGTTGTAGCAATATGTACCTCATTTCCTTGACTGACGCCTTCAATCACGGGGAGCAGAATCTCACCAACTTGTCCGTTCCGACCCCCACACCGGTCAGGTACCACAGCCACCGGAGCACAGGGTTGCGAAATACTCGGCAGTACCCCCTCTCCCCTATGCACATGCTCAGAAACCATCTGTATTTGAGTCCCCTGACCAACAGGAGGCCTAACCCCAACACCTCTAACAATCGGACCATTTCGACGAGGCCCTTTGGCTTTGAAAG